TGAGACCATCAGTTAACTAACAAGGGCTTGTTGAAGTGAGACTATCAGTTAAGTAACAAGGGGTTGTTGAAGTGAGACCATCAGTTAAGTAACAAGGGGTTGTTGAAGTGAGACCATCAGTTAAGTAACAAGGGCTTGTTGAAGTGAGACCATCAGTTGACTAACAAGGGGTTGTTGAAGTGAGATCATCAGTTGACTAACAAGGGCTTGTTGAAGTTAGACCATCAGTTAACTAACAAGGGGTTGTTGAAGTGAGACCATCAGTTGACTAACAAGGGGTTGTTGAAGTGAGACCATCAGTTAAGTAACAAGGGGTTGTTGAAGTGAGATCATCAGTTAACTAACAAGGGCTTGTTGAAGTGAGACCATCAGTTAAGTAACAAGGGGTTGTTGAAGTGAGATCATCAGTTAAGTAACAAGGGGTTGTTGAAGTGAGACCATCAGTTAACTAACAAGGGGTTGTTGAAGTGAGACTATCAGTTGAGTAACAAGGGCTTGTTGAAGTGAGACCATCAGTTAAGTAACAAGGGGTTGTTGAAGTGAGACTATCAGTTGAGTAACAAGGGCTTGTTGAAGTGAGACCATCAGTTAAGTAACAAGGGGTTGTTGAAGTGAGACCATCAGTTAACTAACAAGGGGTTGTTGAAGTGAGACCATCAATTAAGTAACAAGGGGTTGTTGAAGTGAGACCATCAGTTAACTAACAAGGGGTTGTTGAAGTGAGACTATCAGTTAAGTAACAAGGGGTTGTTGAAGTGAGACCATCAGTTAAGTAACAAGGGCTTGTTGAAGTGAGACCATCAGTTGACTAACAAGGGGTTGTTGAAGTGAGATCATCAGTTGACTAACAAGGGCTTGTTGAAGTTAGACCATCAGTTAACTAACAAGGGGTTGTTGAAGTGAGACCATCAGTTGACTAACAAGGGGTTGTTGAAGTGAGACCATCAGTTAAGTAACAAGGGGTTGTTGAAGTGAGATCATCAGTTAACTAACAAGGGCTTGTTGAAGTGAGACCATCAGTTAAGTAGAGACCATCAACAACAAGGGTTGTTGAAGTGAGATCATCAGTTGACTAACAAGGGCTTGTTGAAGTGAGACCATCAGTTAAGTAACAAGGGCTTGTTGAAGTGAGATCATCAGTTGACTAACAAGGGCTTGTTGAAGTTAGACCATCAGTTAACTAACAAGGGGTTGTTGAAGTGAGACCATCAGTTGACTAACAAGGGGTTGTTGAAGTGAGATCATCAGTTGACTAACAAGGGCTTGTTGAAGTTAGACCATCAGTTAACTAACAAGGGGTTGTTGAAGTGAGACCATCAGTTGACTAACAAGGGGTTGTTGAAGTGAGACCATCAGTTAAGTAACAAGGGGTTGTTGAAGTGAGATCATCAGTTAACTAACAAGGGCTTGTTGAAGTGAGACCATCAGTTAAGTAACAAGGGGTTGTTGAAGTGAGATCATCAGTTGACTAACAAGGGCTTGTTGAAGTGAGACCATCAGTTAAGTAACAAGGGCTTGTTGAAGTGAGACCATCAGTTAAGTAACAAGGGCTTGTTGAAGTGAGACCATCAGTTGACTAACAAGGGGTTGTTGAAGTGAGACCATCAGTTAACTAACAAGGGGTTGTTGAAGTGAGACCATCAGTTAACTAACAAGGGCTTGTTGAAGTGAGACCATCAGTTAACTAACAAGGGGTTGTTGAAGTGAGACTATCAGTTGAGTAACAAGGGCTTGTTGAAGTGAGACCATCAGTTAAGTAACAAGGGGTTGTTGAAGTGAGACTATCAGTTGACTAACAAGGGCTTGTTGAAGTGAGACCATCAGTTAAGTAACAAGGGGTTGTTGAAGTGAGACCATCAGTTAACTAACAAGGGGTTGTTGAAGTGAGACCATCAATTAAGTAACAAGGGGTTGTTGAAGTGAGACCATCAGTTGACTAACAAGGGGTTGTTGAAGTGAGACCATCAGTTGACTAACAAGGGGTTGTTGAAGTGAGACCATCAGTTGACTAACAAGGGGTTGCTGAAGTGAGACCATCAGTTAACTAACAAGGGGTTGTTGAAGTGTGACCATTAGTTAACTAACAAGGGGTTGTTGAAGTGAGACCATCAGTTGACTAACAAGGGGTTGTTGAAGTGAGATCATCAGTTGACTAACAAGGGCTTGTTGAAGTTAGACCATCAGTTAACTAACAAGGGGTTGTTGAAGTTAGACCATCAGTTGACTAACAAGGGGTTGTTGAAGTGAGACCATCAGTTAACTAACAAGGGGTTGTTGAAGTGAGACAATCAGTTGACTAACAAGGGGTTGTTGAAGTGAGACCATCAGTTGACTAACAAGGGGTTGTTGAAGTGAGACCATCAGTTAACTAACAAGGGGTTGTTGAAGTTAGACCATCAGTTGACTAACAAGGGGTTGTTGAAGTGAGACCATCAGTTAACTAACAAGGGGTTGTTGAAGTGAGACCATCAGTTGACTAACAAGGGGTTGTTGAAGTGAGACCATCAGTTAAGTAACAAGGGGTTGTTGAAGTGAGACCATCAGTTAACTAACAAGGGCTTGTTGAAGTGAGACCATCAGTTGACTAACAAGGGGTTGTTGAAGTGAGACCATCAGTTGACTAACAAGGGCTTGTTGAAGTGAGACCATCAGTTGACTAACAAGGGGTTGTTGAAGTGAGACCATCAGTTAACTAACAAGGGGTTGTTGAAGTGAGACCATCAGTTGACTAACAAGGGCTTGTTGAAGTGAGACCATCAGTTAAGTAACAAGGGCTTGTTGAAGTGAGACCAGTTAACTAACAAGGGGTTGTTGAAGTGAGACCATCAGTTAACTAACAAGGGCTTGTTGAAGTGAGACCATCAGTTGACTAACAAGGGGTTGTTGAAGTTAGACCATCAGTTAACTAACAAGGGGTTGTTGAAGTGAGACCATCAGTTAACTAACAAGGGGTTGTGTAAGTGAGACCATCAGTTAACTAACTAAGGGGTTGTTGAAGTGAGACCATCAGTAAGTAACAAGCGGTTGTTGAAGTGAGACTGGTGGGAAGCTAATGTGTTTTCGTGTGTTTCAAATGAACTAATAACGTGGAGATGTGGCTGCTGCATGTTGATGACAGCTAAACCTGTACACAATACATCAATCACATCCATAGTGAAGGAAACAACAAACAAGTTCACACATTCCCTACAATGCCAGCTGGTATTCAGATTTACTGTAGTATTTTCTCTATAAACTATGCAAAAAGAACATTCTTTCAAATAAGTTCATATGCAAAAGTAGTCCATGCGTTTCAAGACAGGAAACACACACACATTTCAAGGTCATAGATTTCAAAATTAGGGTGACATGAAAGCCATCTTTCTTTGGAGATATTCTTATTTAGAAAATCCAGCTGAACTGTAGGGGAAAATCCAGCTGAACTGTAGGGACAAATACATTTGTTTTGACATAGCTGAATTTGGATATAAATGCTTTCATCACATGCATTGATCAGCTTCTAGGTTTTCCTAACCACATATTCAGAATCAAAACATTACATTCTGAATCCAGGCTGAGTGTCTAAATATATTTAGCATTTTACCTGAAAATCAATCACTAGATCAAAGAAAGATTTTGTCAGAAATGAATGACAGACAATATGAACAATTCTTGCAACAGGACTTCACATACTTTCATGCACAATTCCATTACAAGTTAGAGTATATGACCAGGTTGAAAAAATCTTTGATGGATATGAAGGTACTTACATTGAAAATATCAATAAGGTTCAATTTTAGGGTTAATGATTTGATCCATTATTCCAATTTGAAAATGTTTTTCCAAATAACAGTAACATATAGGAAAATCAGAAAGAATATGCTCCAAAACCTACTCTTTTACATCAGGAAGAGTTAGTGAGTGCATTGCTTAGCCTTCCAAAATATATGCAGTTATTACATGTGAAACCCTGTACAAGTCATGATTTCTTCATAGCTGCCAACTGTTCAAAGCAGATGCACAATTCCAAAATTATCACATAAATACTCAATCATACTCTTACGCAATTATCACATCATACCCTTCAGTGACAATCGATTTCCCACTTCACTCATTTATTCTACTTTTAGATCACTTTACAAAGTACTCCCATAAAAACATCAATTTTTAGTAACAATTTCACCTTCTTTAAAATACCCAAACTCCCCAAAGACACTGTCGTCTGATTAAGAGATATCTCAGACCATCCTCAACCTTCCCCTTTTACTAACAGCAACACCAAATCATTCCAAAATATCTCATGAAGTTTAAGTTCCAGTGAGATCTATTTCCAAACATTCCAAAACAAATGACAGAAAGCTAGTTTTCCCTTCCCCTGATGTACAGTATGAGTGACCAGATGGCAGCCATGATCAACTACCCTGGAATGAGATGTGCGTTAGTGCAGACAAGCATGTGGTATTGGGCTGAGTGAGCTCATGCTGGCTTAGCTGTATCACACAATCACACAGGAGAAGAAAGCAAATATCAACAGAACAACACTGAAAATAAACTCAGATTATACATGATGGGCTCAAAATAAAACCACACACTCCAATAGCGTGCTACATGGTACACCAGACTAGAGGGAAGACAGGATATATACTGTAGATATACAAGTGTAATAGTGAATACAGATGGTTACTGTTACAATGGTGATAATTAATGCCGATGTGAGTAGCATGTATATCATAGTTAAAATCAAACAGTAACTGTGTTACATATTCAGCATCATTAATATAATGTTTATTCAACATAACAATCAAGAGTACAGCTATATCTTTTCATTTGACTCAAACTTCATTAAATGTATTTATGCAAACTGATAACTGGAATTGTTTTGACATGACAAAACATTTTACAAAACTGCATGTTTGCAATTAATTTCTTCACAATTAGAACAACACTGTTATAAACCAATGCATTATAAACTCCAGAAAGATGACACAGGTTTACAAACTGAAGACAAAAGTTCTCCTTACAGAAATCAGCCTCTTCATCCCGCTTGACTGGTTGTGTGACGATCTGGAGCTCCTGGTGCCGGGCGTCGGCCAGTGCTTCCTGTACTGTAGAAGAAGGGGGAGCACCTGTCAGCCACAGAGAGGAGGAGAGAGAGAGAGCACCAGAGTTAGTGTGGAGGAGGCATGCACATCACATAGAGGACAGACCAACATCAAACAGAACATAGTGGTGGCAAAATCGTGTGGTGCTGACATGTCAGGCAATCACTTTAAGAGAACTGTGACAGAAAAAAACATAAACATAGTGGTGTTCTAGTATGCTGTGAGAGAGGAAGTGAGTGAATGTCCCACACAACCCATGGGAAATAGAGAGAGTCAACTACCACACAACCCATGGCAAACAGAGAGAGTCAACTACCACACGTCCCATGGCAAACAGAGAGTCAATCTACCACACAACCCATGGGAAATAGAGAGAGTCAACTACCACACATCCCATTTCAAACAGAGAGTCAATCTACCACACAACCCATGGCCAATAGTGACAGTAAAAGTAGCTCACAATCAATGGCCAAAAGTGACAGTAAACATACTGCAAACACATCATCTAATAAAGAATGTCCATGTATTTTATGCCACAGCTACCCATAGTGCAAATGCACTGGGACCTGATACAGCATGCGTCCAGCATTAATGGGTGAAACAGCCCAGTTAGTTGGTGGTACTTTCAATGTGGATGTTGATCAACATTTTCAAAGTTAGTGACAAAATACGTCTTGAGCACACATGCATGTGGTTTTACATCCATAGACATTATAAATGTGAGGTCATTTCTTCTATTTCCAACAGTAATTTGTTAGTAATTCAATCTAGTGTACCATCAAATAATGTGCACTGATAAAATCCTGAAATGTGCAGAGGAGTAAATTGTGAAGGGATGTTAGCTGATCACGTGAAGCCAATACATCGTCAGTTGCCGGAACTACACTCAACAGAATAATATTCATGGAATATTCACACACGAAAAAAAACAACTCTACAACTGAAATTCCACATTTCATTGTTTTTCCAAACTGTTCCTCTCTCAGTAGACCTACCTGGATATTGACAAAATTCTGATATCCAACATAACCCTTATCTTAGAAGTCTTACACTGAAAATGTCCATTGCTTTCCTGCCCATTACATCAGATTTAAAAATTCTATTAAAAAAATAAACAAGAAAATACCCTTTTAAAAACAATTAACAATTAATTCAAACCTAAGTCAAAGCATTTATCAGTCACACATATATTTCATCTAAAACAAGAAAGTTGTATATCATTTTTTGGCTTTTCCTTCGACTTTATCACCATGTTTTCTATATTCCCTTATTATTCCTGGCCTGGGAAACTAAAATTCCCTGACTCTACCCTGATTCGATGCCCCATATGAATACTGCCAGTGTTGACTTACCAGCATCTTTGTTGGGGTTGCTCTGTTTTCGGCCAGCGAAGGGCACAACTGGGATGACAGCAGAGGCTCGCTTCTTGTCCTTGTCCCGATCCCCTTTCTTCTGTTTCCCAACACAGGTGTCTGCATCTTCTGAACACTGCTTGTGGACGTTCAACTCGCACACTGGAACACAGTTTTAATGCTGTATGGCTGCTGGATGTCTTTGTAAAGAGTAATGAAGCCTGGGATTGATAAACCAATGAGTGATAGTTTGAGCTTCCACATCAGAAACACAAAATCAAAGTTTCAATTAGTCTAACAATTGATACTGTTAATCGCTCAGTATTGATCCACCACTACATGGAGGCCAATTACTGATCACAGGTTTTAGTTTACATTCTATTTGAACCCAAGAGAATATGAAACATTGTGACAAACAACTCTCACATGAGACTGGTGTTAAAAATGTAATTTTTGGAGTAAAATTGATATTTTATACTTATCCTGACTCATGCTCTTTTTGCTTGTCTTCTTCTTCTTGCGAACATAGTGGAACACTTGTATCTCCCTAATTGAAGCTCCCTTCAATTTAAAATCACTAATTAGTATTCACCACGAGTTACCTCCTTTCCACAAGCTCGGGAACGAGGGCGCCACCTCTACCCATGTGCCTCACTCTCTCCTCATATACTGAGCCCAACATTTGAATTTACAGGGAAATCCAAAGTGTTATTTGGGAGGATGGGAGGGCTGACCTCATGAGTCAGGATAAGTATAAAATATCAATTTTACTCCAAAAATTACATATTTTTCCTTATCCTGACTCATGCTCTTTTTGCTTGTAGCATCCTACGGAACGGAGGTGGGAATATCTAATACTTTGGATTTTTAATAATTAGTGATTTGAACTGTGATGATTGTAATAACCCTATGGGAACTTCATAAAGGCACTGAACTGATGAATTCCTGCTGCTAACTTATCAGCTGCCATATAAAAGGTTATTACCATGTACTTATTATGATAAAGTATATATAACATTAATACAATGCTTAAGACTAATAGACTTAAGCTTGTTAATATGCTAGTATAAACTCCTTAGAGTTTGTTAGCTAAAATACTTTAAGATATAACATAGTACTAAGCTTAAGATATGATTAAACTTAAGCTAATTATATAATAGCAAACTCTTTAGAGTTTGTTAGTTAATATACTTATATGATATAGATATAATGCTGAGCTTAAGATATGAATAAGCTTTTAGCTACATATATAATAGCAAAAACTCTGTAGAGTTTGTTTGCTAATATATTTTTATAATATGAGTATAGTACTGTGCTTAAGCTATAATTAACTTAAGCTACATATATATAGCAAAACTCTGTAGAGTTTGTTAGCTAATATATATTTATAATATTAGTATAGTACTGAGCTTAAGATATAATTAACTTAAGCTACATATATATAGCAAAACTCTGTAGGGTTTTGTTAGCTAATATATTTTTACAATATGAGTATAGTAGTGTGCTTAAGATATAATTAACTTAAGCTACATATATAATAGCAAAACTCCGTAGAGTTTGTTAGCTAATATATTTTACAATATGAGTATAGTAGTGTGCTTAAGATATAATGAACTTAAGCTACATATATAATAGCAAAACTCCGTAGAGTTTGTTAGCTAATATATTTTACAATATGAGTATAGTATTGTGCTTAAGATATTATTAACTTAAGCTACATATATAATAGCCCAAAACTCTGTAGAGTTTATTAGCTAATATGTTTATAGTGTAACCATAGTACTAAGCTTAAGATAAGATTAGACTTAAGCTAAATGTATATAGCAAAATAAACTCCTTAGAGTTTATTAACTAATATACTTTTATGTTAAAAACATAGTACTGAGCTTAAGTTATGATGAAACTTAAGCTATATATATATAATAACAAAACTCCGTCGAGTTTTGTTAGCTAATACCTTTATAATGTAAACATACTGCTTAAGATATAATGAAACTTAAGCTAATTGTATAATAGCGAAAACAACCCTTTAGAGTTTGTTAGCTATGATATAAACCTAGTATTGAGCTTATGAAGGAAAACTTAAGCTACATATATAATAGCAAGAACTCCGTAGAGAGTTTGTTAGCTAATACATGTTATAATGTAACCATAAAGCTTAAAATATGATGAAACTTAAGCCGAAATATATAATAGCAAAACCCTCTTTTAGAGTTTTGATAGCTAATATACCTATATGATATAAACATAGTACTGCTTAAGATATGAATAAGCTTAAGTTACATATATAATAGCTAAAACTCTGTAGAGTTTGTTAGCTAATACATGTTATAATATAACCATATTGCTTAGAAATATGATGATACTTAAGCCAAATAGCAAAAACTCTTTAGAGTTTGTTAGCTAATCTACTTATATGATATAAACATAGTACTAAGCTTAAGATATGAATAAGCTTAAGCTACCTATATAATAGCAAAACTCCTTAGAGTTTGTTAGCCAATATATTTTAATAATATGAGTATAGTACTATGCTTAAGGTATAATTAGCTTAAGTTACCTATATAATAGTAAAACTCCCGTAGAGTTTGTTAGCTTAATTAACTTAAGCTATGTATAAAATAGCCAAAAACTCTGTAGAGTTTGTTAGCTAATGCATTTATCATGTAACCATAGTATTACTCTTAAGATATGAATAACTTAAGGTAAATATATATAATAACAAACTCTGTAGAGTTGTTAAGTTATATATTGTATGATGTAATAATCATAGTACTGTGATGATAAAAGGAACTTAAGTAAATTATATATAGCATGAAGCTATTTAGTATTGTTATAAGATAAGTAAAAATCTGTTAGATTGACTTATCTTCTCCGAGGAACTGTCAGCTGTTGTGCGAGGACCATGGGATCGAATTGGTGTATACCTGAGACGTCCCTCGGTGGTGATATCTCTCAGATAATGGTTTGCAACCACCATATCGGATTTCCAGAAATAAACCCTCCATTATTTCATTCACATTTGTGTAGAACAATTGTAGAAGTTAAGCTATAATATCATGAGTATTAAGCTCATGGAGGGTCGGAATAGGTCCATCCGCATATGCATGCACGAGTATGACAGTTCTGATCCAAATGGAGATATAGTACATGAGACTTCACTCTGCGTAAGTTGATGATAGAGGAAATAATCTGTTGCATTTTTCCTCCTGTTTGGTTTGGTGGAGATAAATTTACAGTGCTCTTGCTGGCCATCTTGATAGAATCATCGTATCATGGGGTCCAAGTATGTCATCCAGGCGTTTCATAAACCTCACTTGTGAGGTGTTGGAGCACTATATTCATATCCCCAGGTTGGGCGTGAAATTTCCGTTTATTCTCCAAACAGAAGTTTAGTAGGTTTACTAACCATCTAGTTGTGTTAGTCGCTTGATGAAATTCAGCTGTAGTCTGAAACGCTGTGGATTTAGATCCACTTGTATCTTTCGCTCTAGGTAATTCGCTAAGAAGTCCTTGACGATGTAGGTGCACAACCAGGTGTGTCTGTCCTCGCTGAACTTTATGTAAAATCGCCTGACTGCCGATCCCTCGCCTTAACTTGACAGGGAGGTCTCTAACTTGAAGAAAGGCAGTCTAATCATGAATGTTCAGGTTAACTGGACTGTAATGAGGCTTGCTCGCTCACTGATATATAGTTGTCACTTGTGGCGTAAGTCTTGAACTGTGAATTGAGATCGACCTCTGTGTAGGTCGTTGTCCCTCGCGGTCCAATCAGAACAAGGCATTTTGATTCTGTATAATACCCGCTGTGATGTCACCGGTGTAGCGGAAAAACCCACCTTGAATAAATTCTTGTCGCCGCTGATATTAGCATAAACGCCGGTCTTCACCGTAGCTTCCCCGGTTATCCGAAAGTGACCACGTGTTTCGAGGGTTAATGGTAATCGCGAAACCTCCGTCAAAAGCGTAAATATCTCGCTCTGTAATTTTATGCTGGGTAGGTTATTTTCCTGGTTGTCGCGAAAGTAATTTCAGTTTTGAATATAATTCGACTTCCTTATATATATGGGTATAAACAACTTGCAAGTTGTGAGCTTGTAGACTGTATACATGAATGTATCGTCATAATTGTAGAATTAACGTTGAACTTGTTGTACATATTTCTTCTCAGAAACTTTGACGATTAAGAGTTATACTCGCTGTAACAAGGCTGCTGTTCAATTTCGATATTGAATTGTCTGCAGATATGCGTAATGGTCACGCATGTAGATAATCATATCGTCGTCCGAGATTGTATATTAGCAATTTATACGGAATAGTTGATTTCTGTGAAGATCTATGAAATGTCGCTGACTAATAATACAGCGACGTTCTGTGTTGTAAATAGCCTGAGCAATTATCTTCGCGTAGAGGCTTATAGATCGGCATCTGGCATACAGTTGATAATCAACTTATGCGACGCCTTGAACGGACTGACGAGTAGCTATATATGACGAAAGTGGCTAGTATATGGAAACCTTGGAGGAGACTTCCTCGGTGAACGCCGAGACTTCAAGCGAAGTTCTCGGTATCCCTTCTAGATCTTCTGGGTGAAGTAGACTTGAGCCACTTAGCCTTCGCGACCATCGCTAAGGTGTCGAGTCAAAGCCCGATTAGTATATATATATATATATAAATATATATATGAGCGCTTGCTTCGTGAACAGCCTCTGTGTTTAACAGGATGTGGGATCGGCGGCTTGCCTAAGTAGGGCCGCGCATGGATCATCTTATCATATTCAGAAGTCGTGGTTACGAAGTCTGGTGATAAGTGTCTAATTGATCGTTCTAGATCTATTTAGGCCAGCGAACATACGCCTCGTCATGGATTCAACAGAACCAATATACGATTGTAGTTCTTATACTTGATATCGATGATCAACTTGTCTATGGGTTGATCTTCTCGAGACTTGTGAGGGGAACGTTGATAGTTTCGCTAAGCTCTTGTATAGTCCCTCGATGTCCTTCTAGATGATGATGATCTGGATTCAGGTGTCTCGCCAGCGATGCCTTCGCTGCTTCCTCTGCGTCCGTCCGGGGAACGACGATATGACCTTCGCGAAGGCTTCCGTGATGTCTGATGGTCCGAGTCCACATCTAGGGATGAAACCGCATAAGGTGATGATCTATCCTGCCTTCGCGAAGTCCTTCGCGGCTGTACATCTAGGTTCTTTCCGCCTTCGGCGAAGGCTGTACATCTAGGTCCTTTCCGCCTTCGCGAAGGCCTTCGCTAAGGCTGTACATCTAGGTCCTTCGTCAAGGTGGTCCGTGACTTCCTTCGCGAAGGTGACATCGCCCTGGCTGCTACGCTGACGGGGGTGCCTCTGGGGTGCTGTCTACGCTTGGAGCCTTCGCTGGCTTCGGACCCTGCTACCGCGAGATTATAGTGGTCCTCCATGATGTTCATAATTTGTCGCATCATGTCTTCTGGGATGGTCTGCGGCGAGGTCGCCGGTGCTTTATCTGGCGGTGTTAATGGAGGGGTCCACCGGAAAATCGTCCGACATCAGTGTAGAGGCATCAGGCTGCATGGTGATCTCTGCTGATGTCGCTGTAGCTGTCACCGGTCGCTTTCTTGTGGCGTGACGCCGGGATGATGATCAGCTGATCATCGTGAGGTCCAGGTCATCGGCTGGAACAATCTCGGTTAAGAAAGTCCTAGTAGACTTCGTTGATTTTCCTCAGAGGTCGACGCTGCCCTGGGTGTGCGACGCCTGCGCTGAGTGTTGGTAATGATGGGACCCTCAGGACGATCATCGCATATCTGCGTTGGTACATCAGGCTGCATGCTGATCTGTGCCGACATCGGTCAATCTTTGATGTACATCCGTATGATGACCGGCTGATCATCATACAGGCCCAAAACTGCGATGGGAACGGTCTCGCTGTTGAGATGTAGTAGAAAACCCTCTAGTCTTCTGCTGCGACGATGGGATGTCTGGGGAAGCAGGATGCTTCTTGGAGATGGCGGACTCACGCCCCACACCTCTCCACCACTCTAGCGGAACACCACACGGAGGGGAGTCGGCCAACAGCAGTAGACTGGCGAGGGGTTCCGGTGTATCAGTCATACTAGACTCTGCATACGCGACCTATCTGCTGTGCGTGCCAAACGCAAAGTAAATATTAATAAAAAGGTAGAATTGGATAAATTAGTACCGCAACTGCAATGTGAATATAATAATCATGGCGCCGTACATCATATTAAAGGCGGATCAGCAGCAGCATAAAAAACGTAATCTGCAATAGTACAGAATTTTCATCAACGTAATCCACTGAAACAAACACGGCGTCCCGTGAATAAACTGTAGAAAAACGACTAAATATCAATATATAATCGTTGAAGGATACTAGCTAAACCTCTATAGATGTCTATATACGAGGTAACTAACTAAATATAATTCAAAGGATATAGTGTGTCGGGAGACACAGGCGCTCTCACGTCCAGCTCACTGGGCGAAGAAGGAGAGAGTGAGGCACATGGGTAGAGGTGGCGCTCTCGTTCCCGCGCTTGTGGAAAGGAGGTAACTCGTGGTGAATACTAATTAGTGATTTTAAATTGAAGGGAGCTTCAATTAGGGAGATACAAGTGTTCCACTATGTTCGCAAGAAGAAGAAGACAAGCAAAAAGAGCATGAGTCAGGATAAGGAAAAATAACAAACTTCTCCATTGATGACATTGATCTAATCAAATGGCAAGTTGGATGCCTCACCTTGACACTGCAATCCTTGTGTGCCGACACCCCAGATTAGTCCATTACACAGGCTACAGAACGTAGTGGAGGTGTAATGTGTCAAGTTGAATATGTGACCTTTGAATTGCTGCAAGCAAGGATAGATTTTTAAGAACAGTTGGTACTAAATACGAGTGCTAGATGGAAGACAGCCACCCTGCTAAATATCAAGAAATATAGATATACACTGGGTGACTTCATAATTCAGGGGGGGGGCATTGATTTTGTACATGGTATGCAAGGGGAGTCACTTACTTTGTGTGTAAATTTTAGGGGGGGGTCATTTCACATTGTACATGCTTCTGCATAAAAATCATCATCAACCCCCACCCCCACCCCCCTGCCTTAAATTATGAACGGTCCCTATATAAAGATACTGTTTTGATGTAATTGGATACAGGAAGTAAAAGATTTGACAAGACACATGCTCTCAACACTGCCCTTACAAATTACATGCATATCAAATATTAATGTGAAATACATAAAGATGAAAACTAAGGATGAGAAGACTTACTTTTGCTTTGTTTGATTTTCCTGGTAGTTTGAGAAGTCTCTTGTCCTTCATAACAAAACTCTGTGTGCGCTCAATGGAAGGGCCCTTGGTGAAGCCCACGTACCTGAGGAAAGTTGCCAGGGCCCACCCGATGGCCTGGTCACGGTTTATCTTCACGTTGTCCTTCCTGGCAACGATGTGAGTCAAGTGTTATCATTACTGGACTGTTACAGTGCATTATAAATTCGTACAACGAACATCAGGTTTAGGATGATTCAGTTGTATCAATGTCAATATTGATCTTATACAGCTTTTAGTGAACTCAGAAAATGTACAATGAAACCCTGTTAATCCTGATGATAGTGTTCAGTGAAACTACGTACGTGCATCTCTCTAAGTGTGGTGAGAGATATTTGTCTATGATTTTCAATTCTTTGCTCTTCTCCATTACATCTTCCAGTTCATGGACACCATAAATGCTGCCTAAACCTGAAACAACACACATCAACAGCATTATAGTACAGGATCCTTTGACTGATATATATATCTGACTACATTAATTTCTGATATGTCACTTATGTAATTCTTCACTTACCTAAATCCTTTTTATTACAGAAGTCATTGAGTAACTCAGCTATCTCTGTCTTGACAGCCATCTTGGCTTGGTCAAACACCGGCCGCAGGCTGTTCTCATTGCTGGACTGTGTCAGGATGCAGTCTATGGTGGTTACTATGCTGTTGTCTAGCTCTACCTTCAGTGGCTGGAGATGAGAAACAAGGCATTAGTTGAGTCAGGTCAGTTTGAGACAGCAATCTCACTTTTCGCCACAATGAAGCAAAATGACGTCAGGAGTACCTGAATGGCTTCTCGCATTGTCTTTGCCAGAAAAAGCAAATGTATTGAATATAAAGCTATTCTGATCATGAAGAAGGTAACACTCACGGCATCATGAACCAGGAAGGTTGAGTGAATCTCGTATGCCCATTTCCTCAAGTCTTTAGCACTTCCCTGGGCATGACAGTACATGTCAGACACTATGTAGAAAAACTGAAACACAAAAAACATCATTAGTTGTCAAAGGCTCAACTTACACTTTCACAATGTGACAAATTGTTTAAAAAGGATTCCACAATTGTTTACACCAAAACAACAAGTAAGGGAAAAATTCTGAAAAGCAAATTCTGAATCATTTTCATATTTTTTCCAATATTGTTAGATGAACTATCACACACAGTGAGTCTTGGACATCATCAGTTGACAATGCTAAAGTTTTTTTGCTGTCTAGGTCACATCTTTTAAAAACTGTACATAAGTGAACAAGCCATGTTTAAAAAATGAACCCAGCACATTCACTGTGTAAATGACAAAGGATGAATCCTTCACATTACTTCAGGAATACATACCAATGATGAGGGATCACTATTGGATATCAAATAATGCAGGAATATCGCAAGATGCGCTGGTTTCTTTTCCAGCGTGTCGATGCTACCAAAGGGGCCAGGATCACCTCCCTGAAAACAAAACACTGATGTAGAAGATCAGGCAACACCGAGGACACGCTTGCCCTGGGCGTCAATGACACATTCTAAGACACAAAGTTGACAGAAGCATGCCATGATGTTCACACTGTCACTGACTGGGTTAAGAAATATTTTTGGCATAGCACACAAAAAGCTTGAAACAAACTCTCGACTCAAACAGGAAGCATTGTTGATAAACTGTTAACGGTGAGAAACAACTCAAGACTTTCACAACTTAGCGTGTTGGAGAACTGACATTCTGTTACACTAGTTAATTGTTAGCCATGCTTTCATGCTGTTGGTATTATGATGGTTGTATTTCCTCTGATAAATGGTTGCTCCTATGATAAACACTGTAGACTTGATGTTCGTAGGACCCCGCTCACTGTCAGATGTCCACATCACCCACAATCTACACATGCTACTTTTCGTCAACAACGCCAACACCATTCCATATTTTGTGCCACTTTCAAATATTCTGTACAGGAATGAGTGTTAGTGAACTGGGTTCATCGGAGTATTTCATTTATGTCACTGCTTTTCAGAAGGGGAAAGATCTGATAATCCACAAAAGTGGCATGAGTCTTCATCCTGCTAAATGTGGGATTTAAACCAGGACTAGTAGATCCGTGAATCAACAGGCATCAAGTGACTGTGTCTGCTTTAATACATCAAGGCTCAATCTATCAAACGGAGGTAACATGACCAGGCACTCTATGACATTTATCTGAGGAAAACAGCTCTCATGTTAATATTCAACGGTATAAATATAAAGCAAATAATGACATGGGATATGATAATATACGTACACTATTCTACATTCAGTAATTTTGTACAAGCTAATATTCATCAACAGAGTAGTGTGATTCTCTGCAGGGTTAGACAATTATCTATGTCAAGAACCTTCAAATTATTTTGCAGACTTTAATGGATACAAGACAGAGAACATTACAGTAGATATACACAGCTGTTGATAAAGCAAGTTGACATGGTACATGAATGAAAAATGAAACAAAGCTTTGTCAGAAACAGCCGCAGTGTTGGTGAGTCTTAATTCCAAGATGGTGCCCTTTGAATTTGGAAAATATACAACAGACTGAGAAGTATGAGTTGTATTAAACAGATTTATGACGACATATTAGTGCTGAAACATCCTCTGCAAAACCACCATTGTATACACTGTGCAAACTGATTCCATAATGATAAATACCTTTACCTAAAGGATCAATGTTCTAATGTAACAACAAACATCTCCAGATAACATTTTTTTTCACTTTCTCAAATGCATCAATGTTCAAAAGCATTAAGTGTTTCAGCAAAGAGGGATGTGCTGTAATGTCACAAGCACAAGCACAAGCACTGAACATGTATAAAAATGGTGAATTTGCAGTAAATACAAGGCAAATGTTAGGTCTTTCCCCAGCTGCCAATAAGCATCAGACCAGTGCAGAAACCTGTCAAAGCAAAAGTAAGAATGACTCAGCCAAAAACCAGGAAATCTTTCCTCCATAAACACAGGAGATTACAACTTTGGTGGACATCCTATGCAAGAATACTTGAGGAAAATTCAGAAATTTGGAAAACTTTATAACAAAGACAATCTGAGATAAGGAAACGAAAGTTTGATATAAGTGAGTGAGTGATTTTAGTTTAACAACGCTATTAGCAATATTCCAGCAATATCATGGCAGGGGACACCAGAAATGGGCTTCATGTGGGGAATCAAACCCAGGTCTTCGGCGTGACGAGTGATCGCTTAAACCACTAGGCTACCCCACCGCCCACAAGTTTGATTTATTAGATTACTTAATTGCACGTAAAATATTCTTAAAGAACAAACAATCTAAGTTAGAAGGGACTATGGCAATTCCTTAAGCAGGTAATGACAGGGAGGGTTCCACCATAATATCTCAAGAAAACCTGGTTTCTGGTTTGTATTGTAACATAACAATATTAGAAGTGAGGAAACCTCAAGAGCCTGGAGTCGATGCAGAAATGGGGAGAGAGGCCGACTGGGCCAGTTCCTCGGCCCATCAAGCTGAAAGACAACACAGGACAATGTCACACACAATGACATGTTCCTTATACAGCAGAGTTGGACCCTCATCACATGTACCACCAGAGTGGAATCAACATCCTCAATGTCTTCATTGCTCAGAAAATGTTTTCTGAAACACTGCATCGACTTGTTGTTAATTTTGAGAAACCATACTCTTTGAGCAGCATGAATGATTCTCGTGGTATGGATAGATGGTACTAGTCAAAAATATGTTTGACATTTCCCAAACATTCCTTGAGTCCATAGAAACACGTATCCTGACACACAGTCATTGACCATAACGAGCTGAACTCTCTACATGCACTGACTGACTACATTCTATCTAAAGAAGAACAAAGATGCATTTCCCAAAGGACAAATTATTACAATTTGAAAGCATAATAAAACATTTAATCCTTTCATGTGAAGATACATATTGAGGAGTGACGATCTGAAAGAGATATCAGAGAGGTGTTGGGCAAGCATGTGTATACTCACTGGTTCTTCTTCTGAGTTGAAGTCTTCATCGTCTATTATGATTATGTTCTGTTGACTTGGCGGAATAACATCCTGGAATATAACACAAACATTGAGAAGGTAAGCACAGTACTGGGTGTGACTGGAGGACATTCAGAAGACAAGGCTGGGATGAGGAGGAGTAAGTATGGTTTTGCACCGCTTTTAGCAATATTCCAGCAACATCACTGCTGGTGACACCAGAAATGGGCTTCACAAATTGTACCCATGTGGGCAATCGAACCTGGGCCTTTGGCGTGATGAGTGAAGGCTTTAACCACTAGGCTACTCCACCGCCCCAACACTGAGAAGGAAAGCAGAGATCTTGGATGAGGACATTCAGAAGGAAAGCACAGTACTGGGTGTGACTAGAAGACATTTAGAAGGAAAGCACAGTACTGGGTGTGACTGGAAGATATTCAGAAGGAAAGCACAGTACTGGGTGTGACTGGAAGATATTCAGAAGGAAAGCACAGTACTGGGTGTGACTGGAAGATATTCAGAAGGAAAGCACAGTACTGGGTGTGACTGGAAGACATTTAGAAGGCAAGCACAGTACTGGGTGTGACTGGAAGATATTCAGAAGGAAAGCACAGTACTGGGTGTGACTGGAAGATATTCAGAAGGAAAGCACAGTACTGGGTGTGACTGGAAGACATTTAGAAGGAAAGCACAGTACTGGGTGTGACTGGAAGACATTTAGAAGGAAAGTACAGTACTAGGTGTGACTAGAAGACATTTAGAAGGAAAGCACAGTACTGGGTGTGACTGGAAGACATTCAGAAGGAAAGCACAGTACTGGGAGTGACTGGAAGACATTTAGAAGGAAAGCACAGTACTAGGTGTGACTGGAAGACATTTAGAAGGAAAGCACAGTACTGGGTGTGACTGGAAGATATTCAGAAGGAAAGCACAGTACTGGGTGTGACTGGAAGACATTCAGAAGATGAAGACAAGGCTAGGATGAGGACTACAAGGAGGTAAGCACAGTACTGGAATGGATTAGAGGACAATTTGAAAGCATAAACATGGCAAGATTGGAGGACTTGAGTGAGTGAGTATGGTTTTACGCCGCTTTTAGCAATATTCCAGCAATATCACGGCGGGGGACACCAGAAATGGGTGGAGGACTTGAAGGTGAACATAGTTCTGTTAGAGGCTGAGGACATTTAGAAGGAAAACAATGGGCTGGAACATGCTGAAGACAATCCGAAGGTAAACAGAGGATTAGCAAGATTGCATTGTGAAGGTAAATGCAGGGCTGGGGCAGGCTAGGACATTTACATGTTAAACACAGGACAGAAATGGATTGGAGAACACGTAGAAGTTTAACAAAGGACATGGATGGGGGACATTGAAAATGAAATTGAACACATAAGATTTGCTTGTCCAAGGTGACCATAAGGCCTGGATCAACAGGAACACATCTTGCAATTAAACACACACAGGATCTAACATTTGTAATGTGTCCTCACACATTGTACCCATGTTGGGAATAGAACCTGGGCCTTTGGTGTGTAACCACTAGTAATGTGTGTTGGAGGGCAGAGCGACCTACCTCATTGCTGATGTCCCCTCTGACGGAACTGACTCCCTCTTCAGTGTGACAGTTGCTGGGGTGTGTGGGGGTGGGGGGAAATGCTTGGGCTGGTGTGGGGGGAGTCAGAGACACTCCCACCGTCTGAACAACTGATAGGCACCGAGGCAGCCTGAAACAGCCATTGCAATTGTCATCACACATCTCACAAACATCATCAACACATCCCACAAGAACACACCCTTCATGTGGCAAGAACACATTCCATAAAAATATTGTTATATTCATCTTGGTCATTAAGCATATACCCACCAATTCACAATCAGGTAATGCAATGTCAGATTAGCTATATTTCATCAGATCCCTGTATCTATTCACCAAGACATTTCTAAAATGGCAAGCACTTTGGTTGGTTGTAAAAAACAAATAGATAACAGACATTTTAAGTCATTTCAAACGGAAAACTTCAAACATATATATGTACAAACATAAACATGATGTGCACAAAAACATCTGAAACACAAACATTTTTTAAATTGAAACATGCAAACATAACAGTCAAAACTCAAGAAATAAATGACTGAACTAAACACATGCATGGTGAGGCCAATGTAAAGTGTTTCCAGCTTATAGACTGGTAAAGTAGTTCCGTGCAAACCAGTGTCTTCTGCAGGTAGATGCAACATGAATCTGGGAAAGTTCACAATTTCTAAAATGACAAAATTAAATGAAATATATTTAAAGATGAACCTTTAATGGTTGACGACAAATTATGATCTTAAGGCGATCTTCACCAGGTTTTTATATTTTAACTCTTTTGCAAAAGTGCAAAGATATCCATCAACCATCTGGCCAAAAAGGAAGTACACAGGTGTGAATATGCTAATGATTTCTTTTGCATCATACTTGCACTGTCAAAATCATAAATATAACATTTTGCAAACCATTGTCAGGTTTTAAATATGTCTTTTTCAATATCAATTCCAGTGGTCAGTCCTTGCTACATGCAGCAGCCCCTTGAGGTTTGTGACTAGCAGTTACACAGTGTTCATGCAGCGGGAGTATGTCTGCTTCCACAAACCCAAGGTAGTTATATCTCCTACTGGTTTGCAGGGCCACGCAAATGCAGACACAAACACATGAGAGTGAAATCACATCAGGCAAAATACTTGCTTTGGTCATAATAACTTAAGATTATAATTTCTTTCAGATGAAGGTAATAAAATTTCCAAAGTCACATAAAGGTGTAACTCATAATTGTTCATACTGTGGTACTCAAATGGTATTACAATTCACTGTGGTACAAGTTGCCTTCATTCTGCATGCAAAATGACTGGGGAGTACATGACCCAAAAATATGAATGGCTGTGAGGCACCATACATTTTGACCCCAAAGACAAAACACTTGCTGTTATGTCGGCTCATTTTAAAGATTACATGTTGGTTACAGCACCTTGTATGTTTGAAGTGTTTTGAAACATAATGATTAATTTATCATGACCAACTGCAATGCAGTATCTGAGGTGCAAGATGTGCTGCAGGCGTCGTCTTTCCTCATGCTAGCACACACACTGCAACAAGAAATAACCCTGACATACAGTAACACTGATAAACCTGAACTCCAGCAGTGGAGCTGAGGCTTAAACATCTGCTAAACACTGTCATGATTCCTTACCTCCCTTTATACCAGCCTCTCCTGAGAGAGGAGGACAATTTCTCACCGACATGAATAGAAGGAGACCTTGAGTGTAAGAGTTAACCAATAACTGACCAAAATAACAACGTATCATGCACGATCGGTAGACATGTGCTTGTCACATTGGCCGAAAACAAAACACTTCCTACAACTAATATTACTACTGTTTCATTTTTAATGAATCATAAAAACAATTATATAATTTTGGGACAAAAATACTGTTGACATACATATATTCATAACACATACAAAATTATCAAATGTCTATGCTCATCAGCATATAAAACAAAATCCAACGGGTGATTTCCACAAACTTGAATTCTTCAAATTTGAATAAAGCATTTAGTATTTACATTATGTAGAGTACTTTGGAAGGAAATTAGGCAACAGTGAAACAAGGCATTTTGTTTGGTGGCAGGGAACCAAGAAGACTGAAGCTTCATGAATATACAACTTGAATCTGTTAGGTATGCAACTTCAGTCATTACAAAGAACACTGAAAATAGGTACCAAATAAAAACATAAAACTAATCAAGTCTTCTTTTCTGTTTCTTACACTGTTCTTCTATTTCTTGAATTTGCCACACAAGCACATGTCTACATGAACATTCGGACCATTAATACCCAATAACTGTATCAAGGTGTGTTACCCGCTTTAACTTTCGTCTTCCCCATCGGCTGACCTGGCAATAAACACTACAGGTCAGATGTCAAACATGTTGCAGTTGGACATTCTGAGTTTCTCTCTTTTCACAAAGACAAATTGTTTTGTCACAAGTGTTATTTATCTCATTCTCCTATGCATATTTATCAAAAACATTATAGAGTTTAAAAACTATCAACCATCACATGTGATCTGATGCATCTTCTGTTGGCTTGTCTACATATTCTTCCTGTAGTGATTTGACTACAACCCTGAGACAGGAACAGACTTCTCTAAGTTGGACAGAGCCATGCTTAGAATTTGAATACATGTATTTTAAATTTACTGCCTAACTGAAATAAAGCTCCACAGATTTTTAAGCTGCTGACATAAAGTAAGCTAAGAAACAAGGAATTTAAAGTTTATCCATATGCACTGCACAAAAACCAAAGAAATATTTTTGGGGGGTGCATTTACATTAACTCTATATTCTTTCTATTCACTTTCAAAAGAAACATTTTCTTCACAATGAAGCCAGTGTTTTTGCCTACAGCTTTGTGTAAGGTTTTGCTATCAATGTACACTTTTCCCAGGTGTGTAGGGCAACTTTCCAAGCTCATATTGCTTTTGCAACAAGATGGTTTCCCTCCTCCAATCTGTGCCCCACATCGTGCACCTGGGCAACGCTGGTCCATGTCAGGATTATAGTATCTATGTGTCCCTTTTCGTGAACATTCCCTTATCCTGCTCTTGACACACTGAAACCTGCTTCATGGGTAGCAATCAGAACACTACAGGTACAAGAACAAACCAAATCTGAGGATGCTTCAGGTATTAATGTTATTTCTCTGAAAGGTAGCTATATAGTGTCATGTGCAAGATTATAGACAGCTGTGTTAGCATGAATGCAGTTATGACAACTAAAGCACTATCGGAGGCAGCTTGTTTACATTTGCCAGTAAACCCATGGTTAGATCTGGTGCAGAGAGTTGACTGTGTGTTTAGAGTTGTAGCTTACAGACTCTGAGTTCACAATACACAAATCTGAGACATTTGCCTACAAACCTTTTGACTTAGAACTTGTAACTGAAGGAGGATTTACTGACAAACAGCTGAAAGGGTTAATCAAAATATCTGTCTCTAATTTTGTACAGGCTTCAAGTGCAGTTATGGAGACACTTCATACTATATATTGTACAGCACAACAAAGTGGTGACCATACGGTCATTTTATATTGTCTCTTGATTTGTGTAGAGTGATATTGTTAGCTGGTTACAAACAGCAGAAACAGAAAACAGAAGCTGACAGAAAACAGACACTGGACAGACATGTGATGAGAAATGAGAGTGAGAGTATTACAGCACCCTGAAGGGAGAGGTAAAGGATTTTCAACATTTACTATCAATTACATCAATGTTCTGCTGACAGAACGATTGGAAATATCCCTGCTTGTAACACATTGTACTTGTCAACTCAATTTATAGTTCTTTATGTTGTTTAAATTATTACAAAGCAGATTGTTATGTATCATGTTCCCAATCACTGAAACAATTATGATGAAATCAATCTTTAAAATAAATAAATCGAGAAATGTTTAAAAAATTTGATTTTTCAATTCCAAATGACAATTCCTAAATATCACTGATATAAATGATGAAAAGGGGATTTTGATATGATAATGAAATGGTATGATACCTCAGAGATATCTCTTGTGTAGATGATTTGTGTAGATTGTGACATAGTCACAATACGTCTGGACGTGACGTCTGACTTGGATCGCGAGACCTGAGTTGATCGTAGCACTTCCTTACTTTCCCCCCGTTTTATACAGCATTACAGGCACAGATGCCTGTTTCTGGTGGCGAACACCACTGCGGGGCTGCCCAGGATGTTGTTGCTGTTAGAGCAAGGAAAGGTAGATAACTCTTGGTTAACAAAGGGAGGTAATTCCCAACATGGCCAACACTTTGTCAAACACATACTCAAATAACTGGCCAAACTGGTTCATAAGTCATGAGAGATGCTCTCCTTTTATTTCTGTTTGCAAATTTCTTACTATTTCAAAACTTATGTTATGCCCTTTGGATGATCTAAACATGAATGAAACATATAGAACAGTTTGAGACTACCACCAACAGAGAGGGTGAAATGTCAAAAACAAACACTGAAGAAATATCCCAGCTATGAATTATCTGGATTTAGATCTAAAATACCCCAGCCCAGCACATAATAAAGAAGGAAGCGATTTCTGCTAGGTTTGACACCCATCTTATGGTTATAGCTACCAGGGTTAGGCTCTAAGTCAGCTAACGTTGTTGTGATAGACAGAGTTTGTATGTCCATGTATTTATAAGCTCATCAAAACTAGGGAAAACTAATCATAATACAATATATCTCATGCCACTAAAATATAACAAGCATATAGGTGTGTAAAATCTCTGAAAAACAAAATCAACTTAAACTGAAAATGCAGATACTCAAAGCTTGAAAACTATGCCATATATATACATCATGCAATCTTTTACAAAAGAGAGATATAATGTAATGTGTGCAGACAAAGCATATATCTATAAACTGTATATAACTGTCATTCAGTTTTCTACATATTCTAATGTGTAACTCTTGGTAAATGATGACTCAAAGTAATGACGTTAATGAAGAAAACTGTCAGCATACCAGGTTCTGATTTCTGAATCAGCAATCTTGGAGTTTTGACTGCCTCAAGTTTATTGCTTCAACAAAGACTTCTTTGTGGATCAGTTTGATAAAGCAATAAAGCACTGAGGTTATTGTTACTCCCATACTTTATCATACAGCTATTGCAGCCCAACTGTTGCTCTGTGGAATGAGGCCAAGGACACTACTCCACAGAGTTTCACTGCTACCACAAGCCTGTGTTGAAGTGAAGGCCAGTCAGGACAACAGAGATTGCTAGGTGACAGAGTGCTTCTTGCAACATCACAATGCAGGGTGGGCAAACTATGATACCGGTACGTAATGAATATAAGGTGCATCAGTATCAGGCATACTGCACTCACTAGAAAAGTAACATGTCAAGTATCAGAAGCATAAACTCATGGCTACAAATCCCTCCATCTTGTCCAACTGATACCCCAAATCTGTTTAATCTTTGCTGACAAATGAAACAAGATTTCACCCATGCTTCTGAAAGCTCCAAACATAAACTATTCAGTACTCTATAAACATCGTTGTGTATCATCACATGTCACTCCAAACATGTTCTTATGATCAGCAGATGGGTAAATCACCCTAAAAAACATTTCTGGGTATTTATATCTCCTCCCATTTCCTAATTCACCATGTATTGGTAATGTTATTGTGACATCTGACATGAAAGTAACATTAGATTTTGTTGTCATCAACATATCTTTATAGTGACATAATAATATGTTTCATGCTTGGTTAAACAGATCCTTATTACAGAAACAATGAAAAGACGCAAGATACGCCAAGTGGTACATCGATATCAATGTGTGATGAGAATAGGAAGTACTTGGAGTTGGTGTTGGTGACATTCTGGCATATCGTGGAGACATGTAGTGTAACACAGTGTAGTGATAACTGGTTATCAAACTCTCATACAATCATAACCACAGGGTCAAGCACAGCAGTGGCATCACTACAACAACTGTACACACTCAGCCAGTACGCCACTCTCTGATGTTGGGCACTCTGTTTGTGTTTCTTGCAAATACTGAAAAACAATCAATTTTGACTGCTACGTGCTGCTCCTGAAACTGGTACAGTGGAGTACTGCTTTCATACAACCCTGTAGGACCACAACACACGGACAGGGAAACGCACTTCCCAAACTAATAAAAATCTGTGTGTATTCATATCACTAACACCAGAAAGATTACACTGACATCAACTAGCCCAAGCTGCATATGTTCTAAAGACATATGCTACAACCATTTTAGTACTGCACAAATCTTGTTCCTTATATCTATGGCATGTTTGTTTGTTGTTGTTTGTCGTCGCTGCACTCAGCAATATTCTAACCATATAGCAGCAGTCGGTAAATAACTGGGCCTCTGTCAGACATTCACAGAAATGGGCTTCATGGTGTTTGCAAGATTTATGAACATCGAAGTCTTTAATTTAGCATAAAATATTTTAGTCAAACAAAACGTTCAGTTTTGTGGTGAAGGGTTTAGGAGTTGGAAAGCAGACTCCACTGTACGTCCAAGTGTTGATATTATCAAATGTACATTCTCCTTTACAGTATCTGTGATGCCAGCTCCAGCAAGCCGCCAGTGTAAGGAGTGAGTGAAAGAGTTGTCTTACCCACGAGGTTGGAGTAGGATCCATGTGGTCGGGATCTGACACTGACGGGTGACCAGGGGAAGGTGTGGAACCTGGGGTCTGCAACACAAAACACACACATCAAGGCTGGGACTGAAGGTGGTGCTATGTTGTAAAACCCTACCAAGCACATGATTCTCCATAATGTGTACAATGGTTGTGTAAAAGTCTGATGAACCCATATAGGAGGAGTTACTGTTTAAAGCAACCAAAATGAACTTGTCAAAATACAATTACAATTTTAAGTGCTTGTACAATTTTACTAAAAAATTCAGTCCAAGTTTCATCAATGAACTATCTGCCCAGCAGCAATAGAAATGGCTGCCCTCATAAACATAGGATTCAAGAGAATGGAGATGGGGCCAAGAAATATGTTGTTCCAACAGAAACTGTGTTATAGAGTGAAGATAATGAAAAATACATTATATTTCAAGCTTAGGGGTTCTCATGATGAGGTCTTGTGTCTTTATTCCAGAAAAATGATGGCAAGGCAGTCAAGGACTACCCCACCACCCAGGCTACAAGGCTGACTGCTGATGCCTTTGAGCAGGCCTGTACACCCTTGTTGTTCCTACCATAGGCTCCAGGGACAGACCGCCCGTGAACTGTTTCAGTTGGCTGTCAAGCTTCTTTAATGTCTTTTCCTTCTCTATAAGCTGACCATGTAGTTTCTCTGAAGGGTTCTTAAGGAATGACTTTTGTATTTTCTGAAAAAGAAAAATTACTTAAAAACTTGCTGCACAACATCAGTTCATAATAAGTCATTAAGAAAATATTGTTTTTGAATGTCTTTCACTGCTGTAGCCATGTTGTAGCCAGCTATGTTTTGTATGTTAACCATAACAGGACTATTCACCTCATAATCCTCCTTGGCATGTTCATACATGGCCTGCGTAGTATGAACTTTCTGTTGCCATAGTTCCCGGTCCTTCTCAGGCTGAAACACAAGAGAGGTATATTTCATCAAATGTTAACAGTTATTTTTCATTCTACATAAGAACATCATTCTTATAGCGTGACTTTGGCTTAAAATCCACTTTTAAGAGTACTTCAGCAAAACCACAGCATCTCAGATTAATGCTTCTGAAATGCCCAAAGTGGGCACCGTTTCTAAACTCAGGTGAGGCAGTAACAGCCCAAGGTTTACAGCCTAGCCTGGATTCGAACTCAGACCATCAGATGCAACCTTTTAAACTGATTGTGTTTACTTAGACTAAAGTCCCCCCTTTAATTATTGCCATGATTGGGACACGGTATGTGATGGACTAAGTGAAAGTTCCCTGCAGTTTTACTCTGTGCACACTGCTACCATAACCACATGCTCTACTCACATCAGTGAGTGAGTGCGTTTAGTTTTACGCCGCACTCAGCAATATTCCAGCTATATGGCGGCAGTCTGTAAATAATCGAGTCTGGACCAGACAATCCAGTGATCAACAGCATGAGCATCGATCTGCACAATTGGGAACCGATGACATGTGTCAACCAAGTCAGCGAGCCTGACCACCCGATCCCGTTAGTCGCCTCTTACGACAAGCATAGTCGCCTTTTGTGGCAAGCATGGGTTGCTGAAGACTTATTCTACCCCGGATCTTCACAGGTCTCTACTCACATCAACGGGCTGGGGTGCTGTTATCCTTCCACCAGACGAGTCCCGGAAAGACGTGTGTTTGATAGTGGAACCAGACCCAGACAACTGAGGCTTTCCAAGGAGCGTCAAAGCTACATATGACCCAGCTGCAAGATACAAACGCACGGAATAAAACTTGAGTTGAAAGATACATATCATGAACACATAACTAACATTTAGAAATGCAACAGTTGAATATATCAGAAAAATAGTGAAATGTATGTGTACCTTATAAGTGATGGATGTATTTTGTAATCTAACAAAATAATTGATTTTGTGTTGTCTTAGCCTTCACATTAAAACAGTAAACAGTAAAAGTCAAAGCAATTTCTGCCTATTCAGCTGCCTGTCTTTCTTTACATCCACATAATACTGAGCTACTCAGCTAGGCGGCAGGCAGGTATGTAGGGACAGGTGGAACAGGTGAGTGTTTGCATAGCATTGAGATTCGCCCATGCACACAGTTTCAGTGATATAGTGTGTGAGTGTGTCAACATTGAGCTCACTTCTACTGACCCACACTGACATTGTTGTCACAGTCTACAGCCCCAGGAGCATTAGTTATTGTAGCTAAGGAAGAGAAGTAAAATCATTCATCAACACCAGGCACCCACAGACATGCTCTAGACACTGTATCAATAAGCCATTATCTATATTGCTCAAGTGTTGGACAGACTCTGCTGAACACCTGTTGTATCACATGCTCATAAACAGACATAGGTAGCTGTGTAGTAGGGCACAGTTAAAATTCCTTCACTTAAATTTCTGGATTAATCACTGACCAGAAAACTTGATTCTGATCTACTGCAATTTCAGAGTGAATGGGTCTATTCATAGTGACATTATCTGTGTTCATAAGCAATATAGTCAATGCTGGTTGTTGCCCAACAGCCTGGGCTGTATGTCTGTTAACCAGGTCTGAGAGTCCCATCACTTCCTCTTTACACTATCTCTGTTAGGCCTGACTGACTACTCATAACATGCCTACTCCAACTGGGCAAATCTTTCAAATCTTTAAACGAAGTTATCTGTCATGTATACATATCCAGGGCTGAATACCCAGTAATTGGGCCCTGGACAACCTCAACAGGAGCTTCATGTAAACGTTCCTCATTTCTTTCCTCACTAGGAAGCAATTAGTCCCAGAATTACGACAAATATCAACATCTAAGAAACATTAACTTTGGAAACTAATCACGAAAAACACAACGGACATTATATCAAGAGCCCACATAAAATTTTCTGAGTGAAGAGAATATATTTATCAGAATACTTAAGCCTATGCTTTTGTACACAAGAACAAAGTATCAATGTGCAAATTCATTTTCAAATAATAAGTTCAAATATTCCAACACCATTATCAAGGTAATAATATATTGCAATCTATACCTTTCTTCTTCATTGTGTGAGTCACAGTAGATATAAGTTAGCTGAATCTTGGTGAGTTGTAGATTAATATTCGATCAGAACTGATATCCATTTGAAAACATGCACATCATGTTGGTAGCAACTTTATATGATATAACAGTCTCCTGACTTTCCTGTTACGATAAGCTATGAAGAATGTAAACCATGACACGTTTGCTTTCTCCGTCACTGTAATCAATCTTTCTATAGAATGATGATATCACAAACCATAAGACACACAATCACAAATTGCTGTGAGATGGGTATTATCACAGATATTATTCCGAACTGGTATTCCTTCACTGGAAAGCAGGATCAACATATATCCAGATGACCTGTTCCACGCAAGTGCATCATCTCCACACTCCAACCCACGTATAATCCGTTAATGTGGAAACATATGGCAATATTTCTGTATCTATCAAAGTATACTGTGCAGTGTCTATCTCCAGTGACCTACACCAGAGGTTACAGATAACAAGTGACAGCGTCTAAAACTGGCTCAGTGATCACACGCTTGTACTTTACGTCATCAATTTTGCGTACATGCAGCAATGAAATGACAATGTCACACTTGGATGATTCAAAAAGGCTTTTTTGAGATTTTCTTTTGAGAAACCTATCCTAATGTCCTTGGAGCTGAGAATGAACTACTTCCTTCAGTGGAGGAAATACGAGCTGACTATGTAGTGGAGTGTATTGTTTGTATAACATTCACAATATACAGGACTTATCATGCTTCCTTACAACAACCAAATCCGAAGCTTCTGTTCAGAAATGAGATTTATGCCCACATATGGCAATTGTTGCCTCCACAAATGGTCACATAAATCACCTTTTAAAAGTGGTTCATTATTACCCGGCCTGTCATATATTGTCAGTATTCCAGCAAGGGGCTGCTCTACAAAAGGAAGAGGATTAAATCAAGTGAAGCACTGGTGTATGTTGTGTCATACTGTCAGCATGTTGGCTGATGTAGGCTACAGACAGCCCAGGTCACAATACTGGATCCACACTGGAGACGTGTTTATCTCGGCCGCTGACACCTCTACACAACAGGTGCAGGGAGTTTCACAACTGTACTCAACTACACTGCCCACACTTCTTCTTGTTGTTGTTGTTGACGTATTTAGTAGTGTTTCAAGCAAACTGTTGTTCACATGATAACTGATTTGTTATTCATGTGCAACTTTGATGAAGTGTCCTTCATTGAATGTTCATTAATGATGGCCGATGTTACTGTCACACTGACAGGAGTTGATTTTAGGCTTAACACACACAAATTCTAGCTCTTACAGCTATTTGGTCTCTAGTTCAAACATATAATTCAAAAGGTACAAGTTATCATTAAGATCTATCAAGTTGAGTCATCATAGGGTCCCAAATGTTATGACAGGGACAATAGCATGGGTGCCACATATTCAGCAGGTGCTTCCTTTAAACACATCATTTTGAGACAAAGAGCCAGGTCACCTCTCCAGCTATCTGACAAGCGTCTGGTTCTACATTCAGCATGGTAGAGGACATCATAAAGTGACACACCACTTCATTAAAATATTTCAAATTCCAGCCTAAGCAGTCACTGAGTCAGCGCACATGTTTCCCCACATGGCCTGAGTGCACTGCAAACAGCAGCAATCCAGTATAACAGGTCATTTAATGCATCAGGTTCATCTACACATGGTCGAAAACAGATCCTGATCCTTGAGATGCTGGCCCAGCACCATCCACTTCATCCACAGTTGGGTGGTTCAGTATCACACTTCATCCACAGTTGGGTGGTGCAGTATCATCAGTATACAGACACAGGCCCATCTGGATAGCTGGCACACTTCAAGGCAAGTATCACAAGTTTCATTAAACAGAATCAAAAACTGATCCAATGTGATGGAAAAACAGATACACACAATGAGGAACTCCCTTGTGAAGCCAACTTCAGTAAACTGTTGCAAACAGTGTTGTCATAGTTCTTAGATCATTAAATATTTACATTTGTGAATATGCAAGTCACTTGTCCTCAATAAGTAACCTTGCATTTATTCGTTGAGAGGCAATGTGAAGCTTGACGCAGTTGTGCTCCTCTTCCACCTGACATCACCTACAGTTCAGCCATCTTGGTCCAGTGTCTTTACTTCACTACCAGCCCAACCTGTGGCCTTAAGCACTGTGTCATCATAGGAAAAGTAAAGTCCACACATCCCACCCGGTCAGCACTTCCCCAGGTGTTGGCCCCACTCAGTCAGTGCACGGCAGTAAAACAAACATTGCCAGTAATCTTCACTAATCCAAGGTAGTCACACTACACTGTAACACATTTCCTTCACCACACAATTCATTGCACGACACTTCTCTAGGAAATAAAACATTGTATTAATCCTGAGGCATGTCTTTCAATTTGCCGACATTTGTCACAGGTATTTTCAGCCATCTGAACATTCTGGTCTTCCTTTTCCAACTGTGTGCATTCTGTGCGTCCTCACCCCTGCATGATATAGGTGGCCCCTGTGGGTGGTGACAGCTCGTTATCTGTCAGGCCATATCCCGTGACGTCAGACCCAGGAATTTGTACTGCTATTCACATTCATATGTTTCATACCATGAAAGGCTTTCATCAGCCAGATTGTCTAGAATGTGTTTGAATAGACCAAACAAAGTGTTTCCTTGACAGAGACATACTTAAGATACTTCAGACATATAAATCAGAATTATGTGGTTAGTCTACAAGCTGTGTGTTTGTGGATGGGTCGTCATGCTCACTGCCCGCACAGAAGGTGTACCCACAGTGACAAAGACAGATGCAGGTAGACAGTTGCCAGGATACACTTATATATAAAGACATTCATTTTACTGAGGCACTGATTAAACGTGATTCTCAGTTAGCACTTGAGCAGAGTAATATCATCATATTATCCTACAATTACATCATAGGATCTTTAAAAGGAATATTTTCACAAAAATCGTACAATAAAATACATTGTTACTATTTCAAGAGAAATGTCAGAATGATTTAACTGACGTAACAAGGATTAATTTCCAACTAAATCATTCATCAATAGATTCTAAGAAAAGTTATATTATTTTCTCCAACTGAATTTTCATAATAATCTCCGCACCAATATTAGCTTTCAACATAATTTGTCACAATCATTTGAAAACAATTATGTAACTTCCAAATTACTTTTTTTTTAAGAATGAGCATTCAATATGATGTTCAAACTTACATTCAGCTCAACAGTAAACCTAGTAATGTCCCATTCAGCCACCCACAGCTCAACACCTTCCTGTCCCTGTAGATGAATCTAGATAAGCTGCACACCAAGGCGGGCATACACTGAATAACTCTCTCTCCATAGCATCTTAACCCTTTGCATGGAGAGTGTTTAAATATACACTTTTTGTTTCTCGAGACACAAGATGGTGATGTCATTAACCTTTAGAAGACTGGTTGATGAATCTCTCAAGTTTGAATTTGTCAAGTGAAACAGGGAGAGGTGTGTTACAGTATTTGGGGGGTAATTTGGGGAAGGGGGGGCTAAAATATTTAACAAAGAGGTTTTCTCTCTGTTATAGTGTTGTGACCTGAATGCAGTGTACTTTCATGTATCCTGTTGCCGGGATGGGCAGCCATTACAAGGGAAGAACTGTTGAATAGCTGGGACAAAAAGCAATGTGTACACATACAAACTAGTTTAAGGATATG